TAGGCTCAACACTATAACATAAAATATCTAATCTAATTTATATTTCTGTTAGCTTAAGATGATTAATAAATGTTTTACCACAGTGTGCAGGAATCTCCTTTAAAGGAAGATATTGAGCTCCTCTCTGATGCAAATATTGTTAAATCTTTTTTCCTTATTTGATACAGTAAACAATAGTGTTATTTACAGAGAATCGTTTAGTGGCCATTCATACTTTTTGACTAATGCCTGGAAGTTACTTTACAGGAAACTGGCCAGGGATGACCCAAAGCCAACTGCATAACCTGACGTTTGGTACAGTGAACACAACGTTTGAGGGTTAACGGCCATGCTGTTAGTGTTGAAACGGTTGTGGTTGTAAATTGTCTGCATTATCTATACACGCATCTGAACGATTTAAAAAAATAGTTACAACAATCGGAGCCTAAGTGAACAATTTAAATAGTTTTTTATTAATAATGATTTTCCATTTGCTTTTATCTAGTTTTCTTGAAACTCATGATGTATACAGCTAGCCTTCAGTGGACAAGAGGACATCAGTGTGTGTGTGTGTGTGTGTCTCGCACACACAGTACACCTCACAGACCTCCACTACACACTGCACAAGCCGCCGTCTGTGCAACGAGAAAACAAAATCGAATAATAATTTAAAAAACCTTTCACACACATAGGCAGACGTGTTCAAACTCGTTTCCTTCTCTAGTAACGCTTGATGTTCCTGAGGACCATGACAGGGAAAAACAGAGAAACAGGAAGTGCAAGCGTGAGAACATATTTATCAGAGGCATGAGGGGCAGAGAAATGTTTTACTTTACCTTTTTTGTCTGGTGTGTTATGATATCTGCATTGCTAACTTAACATTGGCCTTCAAGGTGATTTATGAGTCAAAGTGTATTAGGGGGCTGGCAGTCAATTGGTTTAATCTGTCAAGAAAATGTGTATCTGATGAGGAGCTGTCATGTAAATCTAATGAAAATCTGTTCAAGGTCAATTGAGGAAAACATCCCACATTCTAAAAATATCTCATGTAAGGTTTCATTTTGACCTTTACATTTCCATCTACAGTAGTTTTGGTTGCAGTTTTACGTCCTGTTATTATTCGTCCAAAGGCTGCATAACAAACATGATGACATGGAAACTTGTGTGCGCGTTCACTCTCCTTTTCTCTGAGAAAAAGCACAGCACCCCCCTGTGGTATCAAGTCCTCAATACACCACAGAATATTGCTCCCTTCAGGTCTTAAACGGATTTATCTACTTTTCAAATCAATATGCATTAGCCGAGAAGAGAAAGATTGATCTATTTCCACACCAGTTGAATCCAGAATTATGTTTCCCCTGGCTGGTTCCTTTTGCCTTTTATAAAAAAGATAGAAACTCCTGCCATTCGATTGTCTTACACTCATGCTCCCGCTTTTCTTTTTTATCCAATCACAAAAGCTTTGTTTTATGCAAAGAAAAACAAAGCAAACACATATAGGCAGTGAAACAATCAAAGTATAATGAACAGTTCCTTAATAATAAAAATAATAATTTAAAACTCCTTAAAAAAAAAAAAGAAGAAATGGGAAATGGAAACATCTTATTCAGAGTGCTCTGCCGTGGGTCAGCCACAAGCATCATAACAGTCAAAGTTCCCTTGGATACGTAAATCACACTTTACTTTACAACAACATCATCGTCATTGGTCTCTCATTCGCCTTTTCAGACATTCATGAAAGGACATTTCACACTCATCGTTAAAGAATAAATACAAGTGAGAGAGGGACTCTTTGCACAACAGAGGAAGCAGAACTGAGTCTCAATCGGTCAAACGGCTAAATTGGACTTTTCCCCCCCAATCAGCGAAATTATAGGTCAGAGCGACTTTGTCGATTAGCCGTCAAGGTCAACGGTGTCAGTGCAAGGTATGAACGAAGAATAACCTTTTGAACGTTTCGAGAATCAACCTGCAGGAGCAAAATAAGCCAACGTTTTGCAGTTACACTACGGCAGCCTGGCTGTACTGTAGGTGCAAAAGTAAGACAAGAAGTCACAGGGTAATGGCAGACTACGCATAACACACAAAATATATTTCAGAAAAGTTTGGAGTGTGTAGTTGGAGCATTTATATTACCAGACCTTGCCAAAAACTCACCAAAAAATCCTCCATCAAACTCCACTTTTAAACATCTGAAATAGCGACAGATTAAACCAAAGTCTGACAGGGTCGCAGCAAGCTGGAGCATACATGGTGGATAATGGAGGACTGGTGTCTGACAGGGGGTGCAGCTTGAAGAGAAGGGGTGAAAGGTCACGGAAAAAGAGCGGGAACAGGTTAGAGATATATGAGTTAAAGAGGATTGGGGCGGTTGGCAGACACATGATAAAGGCTTAGAATAAAAGGTGCTAAGCAAAAAGGAGCAATAGACCAAAAGAAGATGGCAGGATGAAGGCGTCAGTTGTTGGACTGCCCTGGATTTTCAAAAATAAAAGCATGTGCTCCCTTGATTTAGGCCTACTTTTCTGGGAACTTCAAGAGGGACAAATGAGAATACAGTAGCTAGAAGCTGAATAAGTCAAGCAGGGATGCATGATATGTCGGGCCGATAAATGATTGGCAGATAATGGAAAACGTATATTATGTATTGTTCCTATACCTAAATTAGTTCATCCTAAAAAGCCCAATTGCTTATGTTTAAATACGTTGACTTGTTCTATTAAAGCCAAGTTTAGAAAGACCTCAACCTCATGAACTTAAATATTTATTTATTTAGATATCTTATGCTTGTTATTCATTTGTATTTTTTTTAATGACACAAATAATGAACATTCATTGTTTTCTTATGTTAAAAATAGTGATTTAGATTTGGTTAGGTGAGATTTAATATCAAGTCATTGTTGCTCTCTACACCTATCAAGCCTTATCCTTTTAAAATACAAACATTTTAAATTATAGATTATTTCATCGTTATCGGCCATAAACAGCAGGGAAGGAATCCATATCGTGCATCCCCAGGAAATAGTCCAACTTAAGAAGAAGTTTGAGAATCTGTGGGCCAGGGCCTGTGAATCTGGGAGGAGAACTCACAGTAAGGCACAGTGCTCTGCTCGTGTGGTAGATAATGCTCATTCACGCTGCTACCTCTGATGACAGCTACTGCAGACAACAGACAAAACATTGATGACGAAGCACATTTCCCCTCTTCTACTGTTCCATTTGAAATGCATCCTCCACCGTGAATGAGTCCCCCACTCCCGCCTTTATATCTTTGGATCTTTCTGCTCTTTTGAATGTGGCAGAACATCCATCTTAGCAACAGAACAAAGTTGAAAACACAAGTCCTCGCTGATCAGGCGATTTGATGCTTTACTATCTTCAGTCATGTCCTCTTCATGTTTTCCACACACACACACACACACACACACACACACACACACACACACACACACACACACACACACACACACACACCACACACCACACACACACACACACACACACACACACACACACACCACACACACACACACACACACACACACACACACACACACACACACACACACACACACACACACACACACACACACACACACACACACACACACACACACACACACACACACACACACACACACACACACACACACGATAGTGTACCTTTAAGGACCAAACCTGCACAATACAGCCGCACAAACATGTAGGCTCAGTAGCTCCATGGTTTTAGCCCAGGATTTAAATCAGATCACTTTGTTTTCCAGCAACTGAAAATGAATTCTGCAGCTTCATTTTTGAGGACTCCCAACAGTTACGATTTGGATTAACGTAAAGCAAAAATAATACCTGATACATCTGCACTATATCAAAAAGAGAAAGCTCTTGCAACAACATAAATTACTAAAGATCAAATTCTCTTAAATATGTAAACAAACACTACAACTTAAATATATTTGGTGTGATGCAGACATATTTAAATACAAAGCTTGGTTTTATATCAGCTCTCCTGTGGTGCGGCTGATTATTGCACTGCAAACGCTGGAGTCCTATTGCACTTCAGTGGATCTTTCATTGGTCTGATTTAACTTCTGTAACTGTCAAAGGCTTTTCCAATCAAATTGTTCCCTTAAACTCAAGCTCTACAGTACGATTGGGAGAATTGGAGACAATAACCCAGAGAAAAACCTTCATAAAGCGAATCTAGGATAGAGAAAAGCTGTTTTAATCACACAGGTTTGTCACTTCTGGCTGATTGTGCAGGTGAAGTCAACGGTAGTGTCTCCAGTCTTTCACAAAACATCAAACAGAGAGACAGTGTAAGTCCTCATAGGTCCCTCTGCTTTCCCACACACACACTTTCTATCCAGGCTCCTTCTCAGCATTCTCAAAGTCTGTTGATATCTGTGGTTTAAAAGTTTTAGCATTCTGAATGCCAGGTGCTCCATTTGTCCACCAGCATCACATGGTGGTTTGACGGACAGGGATGAAGAGGCGTGTCTGTTAGAAAAGGGTGTGGACAGGGGGTGGTGTGGCGTTTTACCAAAGAGACCGGGTTCCTGGGTTTGTGCCTCTCTCTGTTTTGTTTTTTGCTGAGGTCGCGAGAGGAGTTGCCGGGGACGGATAGAGTAATGCTGCGTGTGTGGCGTGCATGAGTTTGCTTTTAGAGATTTTTGAAAGAGTGTTTTGAGGGAATACAATGTGTGTGTGTAAATGTGTTGGCAATTGAGTACGGGTGCAAGGAGTGTGTATGGCTGTTCATTGAAAATGGTTTTCTATTATGGGGACATGGTCCTGCATTCTGCTATCCTGGTCACTTCTTTTCTGTATCTGTGTGTGTGTCTGTGTGTTTGTGTAGATGTAGTGGTCAGCCTGCTCATCACAATTTCTTTTCCCCTGACAGTATGGAGCGGTAGAGCTCCTCGTCCAGCTGCACATAGCAACCTCTCCTGGAATCCAGGAAGTACAGTCTGTCTGACACCACGGTGGGGTCGAAGTTCTCCCGACGCAAGTCCGTCTTCTGAAACTTAAACGTTCCTGAGAAAGAGATGGAGAGATTATGAAGATATTACATTATGCCTCAGAACTGCTTTACCTTACTGTTTCACTGCTTTAAGAAAGTTATACAAATGCACCAATATCTAACATTTGCTCTCACAAAGCAACTTACATGCTCTATTTGAAATGTATTCCTATACAAAGCAGTTTAGTTATACTCATATTATATATGTAGTTATACCCTATATTCTGTGCCTCTGGAAATGTTTTTGGAGAGAGGGACATGTGGACTACCTTGCCTAGCCCCAAAGAAGCACAGAAAATGAAAGGTGGGATGGACCACATTGTTTTCTGACTCCTTATTGGGGCAATTTAAATAAAACTGGAAAGTGTCGGCTAAATTGTATTGTAAAATAAAACTAGCTAAAAAGGTTTGAGGTTTATTTTTAGAAAACCCTTTAATACCAGCCTGTTTTCAAAATTGCACAGAAATAAAACTGTTCGCTTCGGAAAATGTCATTTTTTACCTGTCTTGTCGACCTCTGGCAGGAAGCGAAGGAACACAGGTCTGGCGTACGGAGGGATAGCTTTGTCCATGTCCTTCACAAACTTCTCCAGGTCAGTGGAGTGAGATGGATCGGCGATGGCGGCCATTCCAGCCTTTCCCTCTGCTCCTGTGCACACAGACAGCGGGGGGGATTAGATCTGTGGACTGCTGAGGTTCAAGGTCACACATATGCTTTTGTTTGGGCCGTAAAGCCTGGGCTTAACCCTCCTCATGACTTCAAACCGGATCTTACTTCCCCTCATGTACTGCTAGTTCTTAAAGACATTGTGAACAAATGAGAGTTTTTGCAAGGCACAATTGCCTAGCTTGGTTCTCTGTAAAAACTGATTTATATTCTCTATTTATTACTCTTATTTATCAAAACAATTACTATTTTAAACATACTTCTAAAAACGGAAGGGTCATGTACAGAGCTAAGCATAATTGAAATATACTCTCTAGACATATCACACAAGGAAACAGCTCAATTTGATTGAACTTTTTTAGTAAAAATGCATCTTTTCATATACAAATGTGTACTTTAGAAACATGTTATGAACATAAAACTAAATTTAATGATGACAAAAGCCCATATCTTTACCGTAGGCATGTCTACAGTATCGAAATGTACAGTTTTATTTGGATAAAAGTGTCACCCAATATAATGTAATGAAATGTAAAAGGTTTTGTGGCTGAGACCCAAGTTTGTGGACTGAAATAGTGAGTGAAACTGAAAACTTTTATGCATTTGGATTTGAGGATGAAATGGACCATACCCTTAATCGCAATGAGTTCGAAAAACTCGAGAGAAACAGATTATTGACTATTGAATTACCAGGAGTGGTCTTGTCAGTGTGTGTGTGTTGTGTCATTTTATGGTTATGGGATGTTAGTCATCACATTGCATTCCCCATGTAGAGTCTGTTTTGTGGACACCAGGGAGAACAGCTGCTGCGATGCTGTAGCTAATGTGGATCCCAATAACCTAAAACACTAATGCTCTTGTTGAACATCTGTTTGTGTGTTAGTGGTATTGCTCTTGCTAATCGACACCATGCATACTAGGATCTGCCCTTGTGGTTTAATAACGTTTATCTCTTAAATAATATCTAATCTAATCACAGTGGCTGAAAAGTGCCATCTGTATGTTGCTCTTGCACAGCCTCAACCACAGCTCAGCTTTATATGTAATGACCTTACAAAATTGTATAATTCATGTCCCAATAAATGAAGAGTAAGCCAAGACCCTGCAGCTGTGATAGTATTAAACACAGCATGGTGCTTGTGAAATATCTGCTCAGTATTCCATCCATCTTCCTTTACACACTGCAGTGACCTATTTATTGGGCCCACTCATGCACAGCTCCAAAACCAAAACAACAACTTTCTTCAGAAACATATTGAGGAAAATCTCAAAAAAAGAATACATAACAAAGCATGCATGAATACGGATTTTTACCTGGTACTTCCACGCCATAGACAACTACATCCTTCATGTCTAGCAGCCTGCTGAGAGTCCCCTCCACCTCTGTTGTTGACACGTTCTCTCCCTTCCAGCGGAAAGTGTCTCCTGTGCGATCTTTGAAGAACATGGAGCCGTAGTCGTCCATGATCAACACATCACCTGTTAATAAGAGGGCAGAAGATTGTATTCATTTAGTCAGTCAGCATAGGATTAAGGTAAAAGTTTGCTGTGTGTGTGTGTGTGTGTGTGACTCTAACCAGAGAGATAGGCACTGTCCCCCTTCTTGAAAACACTTTGAGCAATCTTCTTGCTGGTTGCTGATTGGTTGACGTAACCATCAAACCTCCGGAGAGGGTCATTCTGGATGATCCGGCCCACAAGCTGCCCAGGTTCACCTACAGGGAGAGGAAGAGGACGACAGAATAATTTATGAATGGCAATTATTATGGCTTATCAAATGACCATCATCACACATGAAGCACAGTCAGGAGGTAAGAAAACAAGGTGATATTTTGGCAGTATTAGATATGAAATGTTATTATATAATCTGATAGATATCAGTATATGGAATTTTTTACATTTAAGATTTCCAAGTGTAAAACTGGTAAGTGTGTATATAGAGTAAACCTACCGGGTTTACAGGGAATACAGACGCCATCAGGTCCCCTAATGAGCTCCATTGTCTCCTCGTCCACCCTCACCAGTCTGATGGGGTAGATGAAGGGCAGAATGCGACTGTTGAAGCCACACGCTCCAACCTAGAGCACAGACAAAAAGGTATCAACAAAGCAAAACTAGTTTAAACCGGCCACAAAGCTGCAGTGCAATGTTAACAAATGGATATCAATAACGACATGTTTAAGAGTATTTCAGAGCAGAACAGATAAGAAAAGCCTCAGAACATAATGTGAACAGGTGGGGTGGAGGAAATTGGAAATATTTCCAAAGAGGGTATTTTGCTACAGTTACAACAAAGAAAATATTTATCTGGTCAGAGCTGAATTTGTTTCTTCCTTCCCACCTTGTTGTCAAAGTTCCCCAGGCTGCAGTTGCACTCTGTTGCTCCGTAGAACTCTGCGATCAGCGGGATATTGAAGCGGTTCATGAACTCCTCCCATATGGACTGGCGCAGGCCGTTGCCGAGTGCCATGCGCACCTGATGCTGTTTCTCCATGTCCCGGACCGGCTGGTTCAGCAGGTAGCGGCAGATTTCACCAATGTACTGCACAATCTGGAGGAGAGTGGATCAAAATGGGATGGAGAAAAAACAAGTTTAGTGACGAGACGGAATACAGAGAAGAACTACTGATTTAATTCCAAGATTACAATAAATAAAAGTGGATTCAAAAGGAATTAACTGGAGAATAACATTAAATCTTGACACTATTTTTAAGGAAATTGACAGGGAATACGTTTTATTAGCACCACTGTGAGATTGTGGTGCGCTGCTTTGCCATTAAATCTGAGGTAGTGAATCGTAATCCACAAAATACTTACGGTGCACTTGTATTTGGCACAATCGTCCCAGAAACGTGAGGCGGAGAACTTCTTTCTGATGACTACAGTCATGCCATGGATTATACACTGGCCCACTCCCACAATGTTACCTGTGGAGAAAAGGAATAAAACATGTTCTAGCTTTCACACGGAAACATCAGAAGAAGTCAAGAACACTGATGGGAAAATTCACAAAACGCTTAAACTGCACAAATAAGACAAAAAGCAACTGTTTAATTCTTAAAAGGTGACACATTTGCAGTTTGTATTATGAACTTTAATCATAAGCAGTTATATTTATACCTGCAGAGTGGTAGAGTGGAAGGCAATCATAGAGCACATCGTCTGAAGTCATCCTAAAGCCATAATATACCAAAGCTGCCATGCGGTAGTACCTGAAAAGCAGGTGAGGAAGGGCAAGGGAAGAAAGGGAAACAAGTTGAAACAAAGCCAACAAGTCTCTTCAATTCTCTTTGAACAGTTGTAATGCTATGAAAGTACATGACAGTGACATGGATCAACAAAGAGAGCAGCTGCAGTCCCTGTGTGTCCTCCTACCTGCTGTGCACAACAATAGCAGCTTTAGGCATCCCAGTGGTTCCCGACGTGTAGATGTAGAACAGGCGATCTGAAACAAAGAGTAGGGGGACAGTGAGCTAAAAAGACAACAACCAAATGACCCTCAACTCATTCTGGCTGGTTAGCAACTTATAGATGCAGATTCAAGAAGAATCCCATTTTGAAGGTTGTTATTACTATTACGTCCGGGGATTCAGTGCAATACAAATTGGCAATATATCCAGTTAGGATTGCACTAGAAAGGTGCACTTAGTAGAGTGCAGAGCTCCACCAAGTGTGTCTCCCTCTCCCAAACAAATAGGAGTTGAATTTCAATCAATGGTCCCTCCCAGCCCCTTACAGTCAAATGCCAATACAAATGAAGATAACGAAAATGGGGATTTATGAATCTTGTATTGTGCCTAACTTTAGTGGGTTGGAACATATTGGGTATGGGTTCAATCTGCAGAGGCTCAGGTTCAATATGAGAACACACTTTCTATGGATGTCAGGTTTTTTTAAAGGCCAAAATGTGGTATAAAACAGAAAAGTAAGTCTTTCTTTAGACTTTGAAGAAATTGCCGATCATAAGAACCAGGGGAGGTTGTTTGGCATACAATCATAAATGAACACAACTAGGCTAATGAGTCGGTAGTGTGTGAGATTATCTGTGCACAGACAGTCAGATATACAGGATAAAATGCATGATCACCCCACAGGCCACCTGGCTAAGATAATAAACTCAGAAGAATGCAATGTCAACTGGATTATGTTGGCTAGGAGCTATCTTAATTCACATACAATATTGAAACCCTCACTGAGTGGGTTGCTTGGCATAAGTAAATCAGCTGTGTAGGTGAACATAAGGTGAGAGCATGAACAAACGTTACAGGTTATATATATATAGGTTTTATAGTTGCCTGTGGCTGTCAGTGATAACATAGTTTAGTGTTTAGGGGCTAAAGTGAGGGTGCAGGTGGGACTAGATTCATGGAGTAAGAGTTCACCAATCTGCTTTGTGGATAGAAAAATGTAAGATGCTAAACAATGGGGACAAAAATGATAAAATAATATATCTTGCCACATTAGGTTATCGAAAATCTGAATCCAGGTTTTTCCTGTCAGGTTATTTGTATGCTGTACAAATTGTGGAGCCCTTTAAAGCCAATGTGAGAGATAAATGAAATGACCAACTATTACTAATATCGTCAATTCCATTTGTTCTCCTATTAATAAATGTTGCCTTAATCTCAGGTGATGAGACACTAATAACTGTAACTAAGTAACGAGTGGAGAATTCTGGTTAACAACAACTTTTCTTACTAGTTTATCAGATTCAGCAACATAACACTGACACTATTATTAATACACCGTCTTAATGAAAAAGTTAAAGTGTGTAAGAGTTTCATTTCCAGTATGAGGGATTGAGTAATGGCTTTGCCAGAAAAGTGTTAATCATCACTTATCAACTGGTCTGTGCTGCCATACTTTCAGTAAATGCAAAAAAAGGTTTTGGACACTTCTGTGTTGTGTAGGTTAGAGTAGAGAGAGTTTTCATTATTGATGACCAGGACATCTAAACTAATATTATTTAAAATGACTCCCAGAAGCATCGGAAAAATGTTAAATCACTTTTAAATGTTGGGGACTCACCTGTGAAGCAGCGTTGCGGCCGGCTGGGCAGGTGAGTTGGGGCGGCGTCCAGCAGCGGCTCCAGGCACTCGGTTCCCTGAGGGACACGCTTGGGGTCCCAGTCTCCGGAGCAAAACATCTGCACCTTCTTCCCCATTGAACTGTGGACCCCAGAGACCGCTGTAAGAACAAGAGGAACACATAAGAGTTAGTTGTGTCATTTCACTAGCCTAATTGAACAGGACTTTATGTGGTACGAATTTTAAGCACCACAAACCTGGAGTACTTTGCTTTGAAAGAGAGGAAAGATAGAAGACAAGGAATAGGGGTATAGATTAGGTTAAAATAACTTGGGTTGTCCGTTGCAAGGTGGGGGTGAGAGAAAGAAAAGAGAAATCTTATGAATATGACTGAGCAAAGCAGAACACATTTGAAACAGCGACAATATTTCCCCCTGAAAGAAAGACAGTTTGTCTTGATTTAAAAGGCTTATTTCATGCTGGCTCAGTACTAATGCTGCTGGCCAGCTCTGTAGCAAAGAGCCTGTATTTTCAATTACTTAATGGCATAAAAGCCCATGAAAAGTCCAGGATCCAAATACTGATCCATCAATCCCAGGGTGGTCAGCTCAAAACTCATTCACCCTTATAGCTGTTGAGATCAGGGCTTTTCAGATTGGGCAGGGACCCAAAAGGAGAGTCGTGGGGAGATTGAAATAGATCCCTAATTTATGTTTGACCATTCAACTGAGCTGCTGCAATGCTACTTTAGCAGTGGCTTCCAAGTCTAATGAATACGAGCCATGTTTAATAATACACTGCGGGGAAGTAGATCGGTATGGATGAATATTAGGGCCAGGCATAATGGAAAAGGAGAGGAGGGGATACATTGAAAATGGGAATACATTGAAAATGTAAATTAAAATACTAGCAAGAGCGTATATACAGTATATTGAATGTTTGATTTTATTCTCCAAAAGCTTGATACAAATAAATCTTCTAAAATGTTTATGCCTGACCCTTCTGCTCTTTTGTAGGTTTAGACACTAGGACAGGCAATTATTTCATGTTTGGATAAAAAAATTAAAAAAACACGTGATTATGCAATTGTTGATTTAAATGTTACATCTAATGTGTTTTTCTATTACTAAACACATCACTTATTAAAGGTCAAGACCATAACTGGGTAGGAGGCAAACAGAGATATTTAATTATTTTATGGGCTGTAATTATTATTCCGTTCAAACAAGTGATTTGTTAACAGAATCGCTAATGTAACTCACCGGGGCTGGGTTTACATCAGCTTTGTTGTTTTCTCCCCCATATACACCTAGTTTTAGCGTATATCATTTATCTCTTCTCTGACCACCTTGTAGATAATGGAGACATTTCTTCTCCACTTCCCTCTCCTTCTTCTTTCCATCCATCAGCCATTTGAGCCCCATTGACTAATATTGAAGAGACACCTCCTCTGAAACCCATCTATCTTTTATGACCTCTGCTTTCTCCCTGCACCACTCACCTCTCTCATCACAGCGGAAACACAAGAGCACTCAGCAGCAGAAGTCAGTGCTGTGCACAGTGTAAGCCCTCTGAGACAAATTCAGATTTTGGCAATACATTTGGAAATGTTACGATTAAAACAAATACATTCTGCCCACACTCTTATCTCTACACAACCCCTCTGATCCTACCATCATTCAGCTCTGAGCCATACACCACAGCTTTGGCATTGGAGATGGTGAAACAGTGGACCAATGCCTCCATTCTCAGATTGAAGTTGATGAGAGCGGCCTCCACTCCGATCTTAGCCATGCCCAGCCAGAGGCCCACGTACTGGGACCTGTTCTCCATGAAAAGGGCCACCACGTCACCATCCTGAACAGAGAAACAACAAAAGTAGGGCCTTGTCAAGCTCATTGCCAACAACAGATTGACAAAAGTGTATTTTTATTCAACATGAGTCTCTTTAACAGTCATGTCATGCTTTCTCCTAGAGGGAAAATCTGAGAGTTTAGACATTTTGAGGAATTATGAATTGTTTTTTTTACCTGTTTTTGTTTCTCAGTAACTATAAGAGTTCAATAATGGAGACATTTTTGAAATTACTCCAGTATTGGGTGCGAGCACTCAGCCACTAAACGTCAAACACTGTTCTTATTGAGGGACATTCTGACTGTCAATGTATGACCACTAAAAGTGCTTGTTTTTTGCCACTGACAGGCTCAGATTGTTATTTAAGTGTCTCACCATTTTTGCAATTACATTGAAGCCCAATTTGAGGCTGTAGCACTCACTTAAAACTAGATCAATTTAAAAAAGGGTTGTCCCATTAGACAAAAACAAAAGTCATGCGAAAATAGGGGTTGATATCCAGGTTGAAAAACACCAAAATAAATGGAGACTATCTCTGACTCTTTCTGTAAGTGTCCAACTCAGAAAAATAAAGGTAGTGGTAAAATATGTTTATTTTGCAACGGATATCTTTTTCCCAGTTTCTCTGGTGTATATTGTTTTGCAGGACTTACCCTGAAGCCCCGTTCCAGCAGCAGGTTGGCCACTCTGTTGGAGTATTCGTCCAACTGTTTGAAGGTCCACTTCTCCCCGGTCCCCTCGAAGATCAGAGCTGTTTTGTCCCCGTGGCGTTGCACAGTTTCAGCAAAGATCTTGGGAATGGTGTTTTTCTCTTTGAGGTGACGTCTGACATTCATCTTCACCTTCAATAGCACAACGGCCGCACTGAAGGAGCAAGAGGAAATATTATTTATTTTTTTTGCAGCTGGGTAAAAAACTCTTCCTGGTGTAATTAAAGCCAATTTCTTATTTGATGGAAAACTCAATCAAGTTGACCTGAAACTGCATTGGTTTAGTATGTTTTGCTACATAATATACAAACTGCATATACTTGAATTAATGGAAGCCATCTTCCAAAGAACACAAGTTTTTAGATAGATTTCCTATAGTTGTTCCTGGTCTAATGTCAACATTTTTAAAACAGTCTATAATGCAAACATTAAACATGCAAATATATACTGTCTTTCACAAAAATGATAAAGCTAGCTTAATGTTCATTGCTACAGTCGCATCACTTATCTCAATAAGTGTCTGATTTTATGCTGTTTTACTAACTAATAAGGGTAAGCCTTGATATTAATTTATATTTTAAATTCATGGTGCACCATTAAAAGTCAATTTGCAGCAGAACTACAATTGTCATTCATAATATACTTTGATATTAAAAGCTAAACACTTTAAAGCTCGGCAACATTTACAGTAAAATGACTAAGGTCATCTTTGACCTATATTGCGCCAGATTTATGACATGAAGCATAAAACATCACGACAGATTAATGTCTGGGTGGCTCCACAGGGCAGTCTGCTCAGATAGAAGATATCACTTGATAATTTACATTTATGGTATAAAGGTAGAGATATTGGGCATTGTGCTGAGCAGAGTGTAATTTCAGGAATATCATAAAAGTCTAATGAGCTAGGTAGGCCATGGCAGTGATGATATTATTTCTACTTGGCATCCTGTTGATCCAGATAAACATCATCTATTTATGCTGTTGCAGTCTTTTGGTAAGCACACCTGGCTGCAATAAAAGCTTTCCACCAAGGAGCTGCATGAACTTTACTCTATGTTAATAATTTCCTTCTCTAGACACCCTTCAAAGCATTTATTTGTCTGAACGTCTACAGATTAGAATCTTTCACGGTCAACTTGAATATATGTTTGCTTTTTAGTACCGTTTTATTTTCTATTTTGAGATCTCATATTTATTTATTTTTCTAAAACTCCTCCACAATGCTGTTACAAAGTAGAGAAGTCTAAATGTATCTAAAAAAGACTATATGTAATAATTTTCCAAACCCAAAACATGTTTTGTTCTGCTTTAATCCATATTTGTTGGTGTTTAGCTTTTCAAAAACATAAAGCTTTTTGCTTTTACACCTGCCTCAACAGAAGAGAAGCTCAAGCCTATCTTGCAGTCTAACATCATTACATTCAAATAAAAAAACAACTATATATATTTTATACGAGCAGGTGCACATAACTAGGTAGCTGAAGCATCGGTAGTGAGAAGTAGAAGAATTAGTAAAGTCATGCTCTAAAAATAAACCCTTGGAAACTGAGACTTTTATCTCTCAGAAGAGTGCTAATTATGTTTAGTCACTTTGGCTTATAGGTCAAGAAGGTCATAAAAGTTTTACAATTTCCTGTTTTAGCATTACTGCACCTATAAAAGGTAAAATAAGGAAGTTAATCACAAATAAATTACTATAGTTACCCCAAACTGTAAATATTGGCTGTAGGTAAGGCAAATGTTAGATTTTGCTTCTCCTTCTTTCTCTCTATTGTCCGACATGTATGTTGAAAATATTTCAACCCATGTCGGGTTTTGAAACGTGTACAACAGGCCTGAGGAGAAAGAGACCTCATCGTCTCATTGTGTCGAGTCTTTAAAAGTTGCCTTTATAAGATTTCGGGCTACATTTTTGCAAGGCTTAACATGTGAGAACACTTTACTTGCACATGCCCCACCTGTGGACACAATGGCTTTTACAGTAACAAGCACAAATGTGTCCAAAAATCCAACTATTGCCATACCGCAATGAACTGCACAATGCAAATTAAACTGAATGTTCTATTTAAATGGCTTTTACCAACCCGAGGCAACAACTCAGGAGAAGAACATTTTTGAATTTCAGTTGTGGGCACACATTGTTAAGTATTAGAAGCATGCCAACACATACACAACACCCCCATGCTTACTGTAAGTCTCTGCCAATTGTTTTGGCAAAAACATGCAGGAAGCTCCATCCTCCACTTCCCAGGTAGAAGATCAGGATGGCAGGGAGAACCTGGTACCAAGGCAAGCCCACCAGCAGTCTCAACACGAACAGCAGGGCAGTGGAACACGCTAGACGCATCATCCTGGAAGAAGGCACACACACAGACAGATACTTACAATTAAATACATACAGATAATAGCTTTAGACCACAGAAACTGATCACAAATATGTTTAGACCAAACATCAGTTTAGTAGGAGTAAGGTTACATGCGGTTAAAGTAAGCAAAGACAACGGATGTTGAACATCTTCAAGCCAACCACTTAAGAATGTAATCTACTATAACTCTGTTTACACAATCGACTGACTCAGCTCTGGCACAGTGCGGGGCTTGCAGTAAAGGAGGAAGAGAGTAACTATATTTAAGTGTATGTTGTCATGGAATCTGTAAGTGGTAATACACATCAGACATGTTTGAAGAATAAAACATATTTGAGTATTCTTTCCCTGTGCAGTTGAATAAAACCCAAGGCTACGAAGACCTTGGGACAGCCCTAACTCAAAGCAGATGTTCTGTAGTGTCAGCATGTGTTGACATTGGTGTCCAGTGCCACCCGATAGCTGGGGAAATGATCCTAAAGCAGTAAATGATAGGTTGACATGACTTCTTATTATTTATTTATCGGTCTATGTAGAAATAAAGCTGCAGGGATGTCATTTCACAACAACTGGGCCTTTATTTATAGGACATCTGTTTTCTGTCAGCCTTTTTTTCTTCAAGAGCCAAGATGCGGAGTGTATATTTATTGATAGTTCTCCCTGCATGTGGCTGTAATGTGATGATGGCAATCCAATAGGTCAGCTAGCTGCTAAAACATAACGGTATGTGACAAATACAAATACTCGGAATGTACGACATGATGGGATTTGTCATACGTCAAGGGGAAATAATGCATTTAGAGAGCAGGAGAGAAAAAAAGAGCTTCATCATCCGCTGCTGCTGCTACACCCGGAAATGTAAAAAGCGCGTAGCATCATATTGCGGTAGTGGACAGGGAAATGATAGCGAGGCTCAACCCACCGTTAGTTAGACTACGCCTCGGCTAACCGTGCCATGTGCGCTCTCAGAAAGGCCTCAGAAAGGTACCATGTTGGACGATGTTTGAGGTGCTAGCCTGATGTAGGTTATCATGGTAACAGGCGCGCCTGGGAAGCTGGATGCGCAGCACATAGTGCGCCTCGGCTTAAGCGGGTGGACAGTGTGACAGCAGTCTCTTTTAGCAAGGAGACGCATGCTGAATATGCAGTCCTCGTTCACATAAATTACCTTTCATGGACCGAGAGCTGTCTGATATTAAAGCCGCCTCTCGTGTCCCGCCAGTGGGTCGATCTCCCACAAGGTTGACAGAGGACAGTAAACAGGCTCTTTCCCTTTCTCTAGCAGATAATAATCATCCGAGGAGTCGAACCTCGCGGGGGGAGCAGCTTGGGAAGTGGCCCCTGAGATGATCGAATGCATTTTGCGTACATACCTTGCACTCCTCGTTCACAGCATGAAATCCCGAACGTGAAACTCGTTATGTGCGATTCCTCTCCTGATCGGCTTACAGGCCAGCCTGGTCGCCCTGTCCGCTGCTCACCGCCGCTCGCTTGGCTTGACAGAGGCTCACAGAGACGCACGCAGACAGACACACGCACCGGGATCCCCTCCTGCTGTAATACCACAACGAGCTCTCCTCTCCTCCGGTGGGCCGGGAGTCAAATACTCCTGACTGTGAGCGTCGACTTTGACCCCGCGATCATCATCCGTTCATTGTCACACTCATTGATATCATTTCTGGGTTCATTGTTGCAGATAAACTCGCTAGCAAGCGTAATTCAAATGACCTTATAATTTTCTTAGCTGCGCCCGCCCACCACCGTCAGCGTCCCATCAGTGCATCAGGAATAAGCGGTGAAGGACAGGAGCCTGGGCCAATGGGGGATCGCGATTATTCACACATCCCATCCGGCGGGGCGGGGTTTGCGGCACTGTTGGAGAGGAAATGCGGCGCGGCCCTGCCTGCTTGTTTCCACCCGGTAGTGACAACGAGACCCTGATGCGGAACAGTGTCAAATGAGCCTCACAAGCTCCATTCATCTCTACGACCCAGCTACAAGATCTGTCACTGAAGGGATCCCTGCAGAATCGGGACAGGATGTCAAACCAAATCATGAAATACCAGTTATTTTTATGATAACCATCACTTTGGACCAAGATTTACAATAAAAGCTAAAGCTCGTTAGCCAGCGAGCTGCAACCGAACGCCCCATCAGGCGATTGCTTGAATTTAAACGTTAACTGTGCAAGTGAAAACCTGCAAAAAGAAACAGTAGCTTTCACATATTCAAAAATGCCGAATGCAGGGCCAGGCAGAAAAGATAGAGCCTTAGCTGGTAGCTATTTTTAGTCTCTTAAAACTATATTTCTGACTGACAAAAAACCCCACATATATTTATGCTGAATATTTGTTAGTTGCAGTAATCAATTCAGTAGCTGTAAAAAAAAAAAGTCTCAAACATTGGTTGTTGCCAAATTATTATTATGATTATGGAAACTTTGAAAAGTCACTTTGTAGGATTTATTTAGAAATAAATGCAAATCTAGGCTCAAACCAATACAACCCCTCTCGATCATCGCTTATCACCCAATAAAAGTGTGTGGCCCTCTCAAGCACTATGTGTGTATTTTCTGATTGAGCTGTTTTTGTGACATTTCTGGGTGTCAAGTGAACAGGTGCCAGATCTTAAGCAAGCATCCTAGAGGGAGAAAATGCAGAAAGAAAAACATCCAAAGCTATGGCGAAACACAAGTAGACAAAGCTTGTTCCAAAACAATTGTAAGGTCGACTTTCATTCGCTCGCAAGCACTGTAACCTTCGTTGAGCCGGGGAGGGGCCAACTTTGAATGTTGTGTTTATATCCGTCAAGTCATCCGACAAATCATACGCATTGTGTATTTAAGCAAATAAGTCTTGTAGAAGCCCACGATAGAAAAAACTCCAACCTGCTTTTGAATCACAATCACACAGTGATCACAACATGTCATGAAACACATTGCTTTTTCAGGGAAGATTTATATAGAGACTAATACTACAAGAGAGTGCTGCAGGTTAACAGAGGTCATTTCCCAGGTGGTGTAAACTAAAGAGCGTAAATTAATAGGGACACATTTCTAAACTCCTGCAATATGTTGTCTGCATTTGCAACAATGCCAAAGACTGACCCCAGTATACGAGATGGTAAAAGTTATCATTCACTCATCATTTTACACACAACATCATCAGGGTTGTGAAGCTCATCTGCCGCTATCAGTTCAAGAAGACCCACTATCAGAGGTTCTCAGACAGATAAGGGTACGCCCAGTACATTATGCAGCTAGTCAGCGTTTTGTGTGTACAGTACATATACATATGTCAAGAAGAAGACATTTGGATTTTTTAGAAATACAGGAAGCAGGTACCCAACCCTTTCTTTTTAGTTGAACATGTGGGGACATACAGGAAACTGTAGATTACCTAATACCCTCTTTCCCTTACTAGACTTTTTTTAAGAATCTGGGTCAGATGTTAGCAAATGTGTGTGTCATATTTGGGGTTTAATTCAGCAGACAGGCCTGTTATAAAAGTCTATTAAAATAAACACACACTTAAATGCATTTACTTAAATAGTTGGACGGATAAATATCAAATATTGTCAGTGTATTGTGACGCCTTCTGACAAAGTTCATAGCTGTTTGTTCAAAAGGGTGCTATAACAATGATGCATCTGTACCTCCTGAACTTTAATAGTGCATATGGGAACACGCTGTCTGTGTGCCCTTTTTATTACAAGTTATTGTACAAAGCATTTTATACTAGGAGTTAGTGAATATTTGTTATACTCTAAGTAACTACTCTAGCATTCCTTTCCTTCCTTTAAAAACAAACCAGTCAGAAAAGTAATTAACATTCAGGCAGCCAACATGCATACCTTAATACTAACTATAATACAGTATTTACATAAACACATTATGTCAAAACAAATGAAAGCCTTAAGTTATTGCTGTGAGTAAATGGCCTTTTACTGCCTGCAGACCCAGCGTCATTATCCTCCTATCATGTCCATTCCTACTGAGATCTCTCTGTCAAAATGTCTGTCTGAAGGAGCCGCTTGAGTTCAACACAGACACATCTTTAGTCCAATCCATCATCTTATTTACAATTGGCCTTTTTGTCTTGAGTTCCTCTCTTATTCCTAGGAATCATTCTCACCACCTTCATTTGAACTTTTTGTCTTCAGTCGTCCAGTTCAAGATCAAATTGGCTGTAGAGTTCTCGCGTGGTGGTCCCCCTCACAGCAGCTGCAAAACATAGCAAAGCCAGGGTGAGACCCTTCAGCAGATTACAGGGTCAACTCCCTCTAGTCTACTTTTCAAACAATCCTCAAAACACTGAGCAGACCACGATCGCAGCACCAAACAAATGACTCACTTTAAACACAGGGCTTGTACTTGGTAAAAAGATTGTATACAAAGCTTTAAAGCGCTACTGAAAAATAAAAACAGACCACTTATATTTATGTGCATTCTCATTACATATAAAATCATCTTTTAAAAATGAGTTTAAACCCTTCTAAAGCCTAATTTACAACATATGATCTCAAATATGATGCAAATTAGCCCGCCAGCTAGATTTCTACCTTTGTTTACATCATTCAGCAAGCTGTGCTGACAATGCTGGCAAATGTGTCATTAGGAAAACTCCTAGATTTAACAGTTTGAAAATGTGTCTGTAAATCTTTAAGACTATAGGCAAAAATAGACATTTCTTGGGGGGTGTGACAATGACCTAAAGACAGACGGACAGACAAAGGGACAGTTGTCTTTAGAGGGTACTGCAGGGCATCTCCTCTTGTCCCCTCTTTCCCTCCACAGCCCCTCTCTCTCAGAATAACAGCATAGAAGAGCAACTCACTGTTTAAGTGTAGACTCTTTGTGAAAGTGTGAGTGTGTGTTTGACAGAGTGAGAGAGAGAGAGCAGGAAGGGGGGGATGAGAGTGATAGCATGTAAAAGTGTATGCATGTGCCTGCATGACAGACAGGGATTGTATTTGTGTGTGTGGGTGCGTGCGTGTGTGTGTGGGTGTATGATGAGAAAGACTGCCATTGTGTCAGAGGGGAAACACCATCTCCATTCACTAAGAGGTCATTATCATCCTGACTCTCCACTGTACTGTACGGAGAGATCATTTAAAGAGATAGCAAGCTTTTAGCTCACAGTATAGATTTAAAACCTGCATGAGGAGACCAGGGGCCTGTACTACGAAGCTGGTTCAACCTAACCTGGATATGTTTGAGTTAGCCGGTTGGCCTAATCCAAAACATACGCGCTCTCGCTAAACTGTACTACGACGCGGGTTATCAAGTGGATCGCTCAAGCCAGCCGTGTCCTATCTAGTTAGGTGCGCGTTCACATGAAAGGGGTGGCATTTGGAGCATTCGACCAATCACAAACATGGAGAAGCGTACTGACAGCGCAGCGTCATACTTCCTGAATGAAAAGTCAACTATAATATTAGACATATGAAGAAGTTAAACTTTAAACATTCATGACTTAAACACTTTATCCAGGATGAAAGCCACAGAGCTGCACCTGCAAGGTGAATACAGCTGGTAACAGAACAAGTGTTTGAATGCGTACATTAACAGGTTTATGATATCACTGCCCGTCTAAAACACGATCTGACTTTAATTACATTTGACTCGAATGTTTCGTCAACTTAATGTGTTGCTTAAAATAATACTTCTGCATACAGTATGTGACACTGTGAGTGTTGCACGGCCAGATACGGCTCAGCTGACTCAGATAAGGAGATATATGATACATTATGAAGTGATATGCAGCGGACTGTAGGCCTACTTAATGTTACTCTGATCCGGTTACTTATGTTGTGGCAGATATGTAAGTAAGCTTTCTTAACGCTAATGTTATAATAGTCAGATTGCTCTGAAGATGGGAGGTGATATTCTATTAATGTTCACGTTCACACAGTCGGTGATTTTTGCCGGCCGTCTTTCCTGCAACGGCAGTTTTTCTGTATTTCCTTTCTCCTGTAATATGACTTGATCGCTTTAAACTCCGCACACTGAGCTCTGATTGGTCAGCAGGCAGTGCTTTCACTGAGTTGAGCTCTTAGCCTGCAACCTAACCTGGTCCCGACCAGGTTAGCCGCTAAGCATAAGTTACCATGGCGATCTAGCCTGCTAAAAAGAGAACCAGCTTCGTAGGACCGGAAACCCAGAATTTCCCCTGAAGTTAGCCGGCTAAGCGAAAATCCTGCTTCGTAGTACAGGCCTCAGGTGTGTCTCTTCTTGAAAACAACTTTAAAAAAAACTCACTTTTTTAAAGAATTATTTGTGATTAAAACAGGTTGTTTGTGATTTAATGCATTTAGTTTCCGGCTTCTAGTTAATTGCATTCCCTTTGTGTTAATAATATTGTTATATTTAAATAAAAGACAGCCCAGTTCGTCAGCTGAAGTGACAAAATAAGTGACACTACTTATTAACCAGAACTCTGTGTTGTGCTTGTGTCGCAAAGAATTAAACAGTGCATAAGGTCCATAATAATAATTTGCATGTAAAGTAGGTAAAAAGTCATGTTTGTTATGACACACACATACCGTAATGTGACTTGGCTGTGATTCACCAAAGCTTTCCTCACAGTGTGCAAGGTGTGAACTTCCACACACTTCCACAACTTCATGCAGTTGCACCATAAGCACACAAATATAGTTTTAACACTCATTGTAGCATAGTTCCTTGTACTAGTATGTGCCCTGATAGTCAGATTGACACAGTGTGATGCGGTGTAACAGGAGGTATGACACAAGTCCTAGGGAAAAGCTGAAGTGTCAACACAACTTTCTGATCCCTCTGGGCCTGCAAATGTTGTACATTTTTGGAAATAATCAGATTGATTTGAAGGTTTAAGAGGCATGCCAATTACATTGTGTGTACATTATGGGATAGTTATGTTTACATTTAGAATATAAATGTAAGACTTGGGCTTTTGATTTAGACGCAGAGGAAACAGAGACACTGCTATGTTGCCCTCTGGTGGCTGGATGTACAACAACCTACATCTTTACCAATCTCAATGTACTGCAATCAGACTACTATGAGCTATAGTTGAAATACCTATTTAGATAATAGTGTATTCACATATCTTTTTGATCGTGTATGCTTAAGTAACTTAAATGTAACTATTTGGCATATAAAGATTTAAAAATCATCTTACTACCTTCACTAAGGAGGTCATGTTTTAGTTTTGGTTTGTTTTTCTGTCTGGCAGCAGGATTCGATTCACGAGACAGATGCACATTATTTATGTCTCACTTTTGTTTACATTTGACAAGATAGTGATGCGATTGTGGTGCTGGAATAATTGTAAAAGTGCATGTGAACGCACCCTCTTGGGAACTCTACAACAGCTATAGAAAGTGTTGTTTGGACCTTCTTAGCAATAAAAACAAGCCAATCTTCTCTGTAGCTTCCGTGTTGTTTTCACATAATGGCTTCAAGCTCATAATCACAACACAGTCAGAAGACCTACTTCCCGAGTCAGGAGATTGGATCTTCCAAGGAGCACATATATGTACGAAGTCTGCGAGTGCCATTCTAATGTAATTTTTGTAAAGGTTTTTAACACCGATTTGTGCAGTTTGTGTTCCTTGGGTCCGAATCCCACCAAAAAGAGACGTATTGTATGTTGAATCTGGTCTGTACAGAGTTTACACTGATGTTTCTAAAATGAATCATGGGGAGTGAAACATGAGTCGCATCAACAGACAATAAAAAAGATGACTCACTAGTCATAACTGAAAAATGTATTTTATCTGTCGTGGATAAAAAAAGGTCACTACTGGAGGGAAGGATGCGTCCTATAAAATGGCTGCTTTAGAAGACAAGTCGGGCATTATATTATCCTATAACTAAATATTGGAGGTTGTTCATGTTGTTATCAAATTGTCACACCTCAGTTAGCTTTGGAAGCCTATGACTGTGCCCCAGAATATGCAAAGCATTGTGCTTAATGGATCAAAATCATTGAGCTAAAAGTAGAGCTGAAAATAATGATCACGCTATTGAATAATATAACTTGTTCCCGAATTAGTTTTACTAATTGTAAAATGCTAGTTAAAAGTAGTGTATTGAAATGTCTAACTAGCCATTATCTTACCTATTCGGCCAAGGAGAGACTGTCCAATGTCTTTGATGTCATTGTATTCATGCAGCATATCAATATGATGCTCCAGCTCTTCTACTCTGCATCCCCTAAAAACACACACATACATTTCACACAAAAAATGATATTTAAAAACGCTCATACACAATAACAGCTAACACAAAATTAAAACATCTTAAATTTAATACAACTATATGAAGGCAAAACAGGCAACAAAAAAGCACACATTGACACACTAGGGCTTTGGCGAGATAGTAAAAATCAAATATCACAATCTTTTTGGGAACAAATACCTCAATATCATTATTGGGACACTATTGTAGGATAAGACTTTTGATAAATTATGAGTAATGTGCATATAACAAGTAAGTAGAAGTAGAATAAGTGAGTGGAGGGAAATAACAAACGAGCTACAGTGGAAGTTCAGAAAATGACCGATTTTACTGTAATGTTGCCTTTAAAACCAGGAAAGACAACACTTAGACATGCTACACAATACCCAAAAGCTAAGACAATACCTAGTCTCATATCACAATATCAATATATTGCCTAGCCTTAGGACACACAAATGCATAATAGGTATTTTACGCTATAAATAGTGGAGATCAACCCTGTTGATTCCCTCGCTCACACAGCATGCCTACTCTCAACCTAAGATGGACCTCGAAGACTGAGGCTGAAGTCAAATAGTCCATTTAGCTTAGGAACCTTCCTAATGGAGTGAAATGACCCGGAAGTCCCTCAGTGGCAGCCATGATAAGTGCTGTTCCAATTCTCTAGAATGATAGGAAAGGAGGTTTAAAACTTCCTTTATAACCTCCTTTAGCTTAGGAACCACTGGACCTCCCTAACCGAAAGGAGAGGAGAAAATGCTGTCTCCTATCCACTATCCCTTAACCCCGTGACGTTTCACTCAGAGGTCAAGGAATAGGAGATAGGGTTAGAACTTAGGAACTGATTTTTAAACTATCCGACCGCAACCAGAGATTGAGGAAGGAAAACACACACAGCTGTACTCACTCAGCCTCCAGCTGTGCTATCTCTGTGTCCAGCTGCTCTCTCCTCCTCTCCAGCTCTGCCACCTCCTCTGCAGGGCTAACTTTAGCACTCTCAGGGACTTGAAGCTGTCAGGTGCAAAACCAACAACCATGATCCTGGGATACACCTGTGACGCTACTTACTGTGTGTGTGTGTGTGTGTGTGTGTGTGTGTGTGTGTGTGTCGACAGAGAGGGGGTTTACTTACAGGTGATTTGAAGTTGGAGTTTACTCTCTTAAACTTTGAGAATGGAGTTCTAAGGAAAGACAAGAGGAAATCTATTGTTAGGGACACAATGTGTTCGACTTGATAAGAAATATATAAAAAGCTAATATTGAATATTATTTATTGTATTATAGCCCCAGTCAAAATAAACTTTAGATTTGAAGACAAGCATACTATAATAAAATATCAAATGTATTGCTATTTTTTGTATAACCAACTACTTATTTAAAATGTTCCAAAAAAATACAGCTGATTTTTCATAAAGATTATTTATATAAAATACAAAAAACACCTATTTAACAAAATTATTATTTTCCTACTTGTCCAGTGTAGCAATACAATTGTGCAATGATTCACTGGATCACATTACATTGAAGCTATTGAAATTATCATTACTATTAAATTAAATTAAATACTACAAAGAAGTGCGTGTCACTGGATCACAAAACATGGACATATTTTTAAAGAACTGTGCCACATTAGACACATTTATCCGAGTTGATTAGCATCATCTTCACTAACATGAGCAAGTTAGCAATTCATTATTGACAAGAACATAGGTTTTGGGTAATAAACGGTAATACATTGATGGTCCTTAAGTGAAATGTTGTCAAAAGCGAGGGCCATTGAGAACTGACACACCGGAGTGAATATCTGACGAATATTCAATGTAAACCTAACTTCACTTCGGTTAATGCTACAGTGACAGAACATGACATCTCATTAGGATTTTAAAGAAACATCAACGACACACATGATGTCTTAAATTGCCAACAAACGATTCAGCAATCCCTGATAATAAAGCTATCTTTGATGCTGGCAGACGATAGGTCGGCTAGCTAGCGTTGATGCTAACTGCTAACAAGTTACCTTTTCAGTTCTCCGCTCTTCAAGTCATTCCCTTCCGGTGTTGAAACTGAACACCTATTTGGACTGCAGTTGGATTCAGCAGACTGCTCAGTGTTCATACTGCCTTAAATGTTATGGAAATAGCGTAGTAATAAGTGTGTAATGGTCTTTTTAATGCAGTAAAGAATACCTTATGATATGGACAGAAAATAGGACGTTCGCATTTCGCGGCTGACGGTAAACAGACTCGTTCTGAAGACGGGATTGGTTCTTGAAACCGAGAGGCGGGACTTAAGACGATTTGGTTACCCTGGTAACAACCGTGAGTGACAGATAGCCCACGCTTGTGTGTTCTCAAAATATCAAACACGTTCAACATAACCAAAATAGTGGATTTGTTTGTTATGTATGGTAATCAGCAGTGCAGCACTTAGGCTAAAATGTAAACGGACCACTTAGCGTTTCGTCTCCAAACCCCTTTGCTTTGGGTGTTCTAGCTTTCTTCTTTTGAGCACAAAGGATCAATCAAAACTGTCAACATAAATGTATTGGCTATAGTTGATAGACAACTAAACCCTATTTCAGCTGGCATGTGTCAGAGAAGGCATTATTCATGTTTGGACCACCAGATGGCGAAATAGCACAATCTAATGTGACTTTCTTTTCCTGCCTTCATCACCTTTCTCTGTTGATTCCCTCTCACAACATGCATATTCTACCTCTTTCTGTCTGTCGAAACAACCCACTCACTTGTTGATTAGGGAAATCATAGCATAATCTGACTGTGATTTTGTGGCATTTATTCATGTGGTAATATAAACTGCTCACAAACCTATGCCTCTCAGACTGATTCAAAGCCACCAGTCAGAGCTCTAAATCTAAATCGGATTTCAAAAAAGGAAAAGGTCATGTCCAGTCCACAAACACAGAAACACACACACAGACACATTCTCATTTCCACCCCACATAGGGCCAGTACAGTTCACTGGGCACAAACCAAAGGAAATGAAGCACAGCGAAAGATTAAGCTCTTAAAACAGATAGGGATAGAGGAGGGAAGACAGAATGTGTATCCAGAGGGGGTTGGTGTGTGTTTGTGGTGTGGAGGACATAAAAAACGAGTCCATTTTGCGTTATGTCCTCAGGATTCATTGCTTATTTATTAGTTGTTATACAGAGACAGAGAGGGTCTGGAATGAAAAATTTAGACAGGATGCATGGCCTTTCTCCTTTTAGAAATCACAAGATTACACACACTGGGCGGTAATGGCTCCTGCAGTTGTGAGTGTGTGTGTGTGTGTGTGTGTGTGTGTGTGTGTGTGTGTTTGAGACAGATAGGAAGAGATTTGTGGAGGATGGCTGTTCCTCCACAACTCTGACACAGCAGTAAGCATCCATGTGTGTCTTTGTGTGTGTGTGCACATTGTCTGAATGTTTACACACATCACTGCGGGTTGTTAATTAAGGACACAAAGTCATATGTGTCCTTAGTGAGTGCAGCAACGACAGGGACTCTCAACTATAACATCTGCTGTCATTGTTAATGTGAGCAAGTGTGTGTTCGTGATCTTGGACTTGTACTTGAGACTATAGTCTGTATAAAGTGCTCCTTCCTCTCTAATGTGCATCAAAGCTTGGGCTGCCTGTGTTTATTTTTGGCAGTGTGTGGTGAGGGGTCTCAAGAATGCCAAGATAAAGGACTTAAGTATTGGCAAGGATTTGACTTTTTTTTCTTTGTTGCAACTATGAAGAATTACCTTTCTGTGCACCATTTATATTTTCTTTTGACTTTTACAATAATATTTGATGTCATTTTTCTTAAGTGATCTTTGTGGGTTCTTTACGAAGTCCACACAGAAAGTAAAAAATCAGCTACACATTTCCTTTTCTAATGTTGATAGACAAAAACAGATATTTCCATCTTCCAGAAAAAAAAAAAATTATCTTTCACTATTGATAAATGAAAAAAGGCTTATAGATAAGAGAAATTGAAAGTGCACATAAGAGGGAGATGGTGAATTTGGTTAGAAATGTAAGCAGAAGGAGCAGGAAGAGCACAAAGAATGGCAATATGAATATGACAAGAGGGTGAAACAGCAGGACAATAAGCGGAGAGGAGGAGAATGGGGAGGAAGCTTCTGTTGTAATGTTAGTTGGAAATATCTATCATGTCCATAATTCATGGAAGACCAGCCGTTCCTCTGTCTTGCATCTAAATTTCACTGCTGGGGAATTATGACCAGGGAGCATAAAAAAGACATACACACATGCACACTCACACAAACTTACTATACTAAGGAGGGGGGAAGATAGCAGAGGAACAAGAAGAAGATACATTTGAGAAAGAGTGCAAATGAGCTGCAGCAGACAGCAGGGTGTGAGAGTGAGCACCCTCCTGCAGGATGAAGGGGTAGATGAAGGGGATGATTCAAAGCATGTCATAAAACATCGATACACCTCGAAATGCCGCGCTACGAGCTCTGCTTACACTGGAGGAGATTATGACTTTAAATAATTCACAAAGCTTGCTCAAGCACTTATGCACACAAATACAGTACAATCTTCTATGCAAACAGAAACACAGACATGGATAAAAAAAACCTACGCACACAAATGTATACTTACACCAACACAAATCAGTGTTTTCACTGAAGTACTCACACATTATGGAGGCTTGGCTTGAGTCAGACTTAGAGGGAAAGATTGGTTGTTATATTTAGCTTTTCAGTCCAGCACCCAGAGCCAGGGTGAAGGACTCTTTGAAAAGAAGGAGCCGATAAATTGTTGGTTGTGAGGCAGACTCCTGCTGAGCTGGACAAAGTGATGGAAGGATACAGCCACAAATCTGCAACCTCACTTTCACAACAACATCTCAATCACAAAACAGTATCGATCAGCTGTTTGTATGTTACAGATGCCTTTACTTCTGACAGAGATACTCATCTCTAAGCTAGGCACTGTATGGTAAACATATTCTAGAAATGCTATGTATTCCAAATATCATTACATGTAAATTAAGTGACTGCTAAGAGAATAAATACATTTCCATCCATGTTTCGCGTGTGACAGTAATTCCTGGTCACAGTGCAATTCCTGTAGAATTAAATGAGAGTTCACATGAAAGAGAATTCATCATATTGTGAAAGGTTTTTCATGGCTGATGCAGTGCTGTTGTATAAATGCCATCACACAATTGCTATTCATATCTCTGCCAGGAAGGCCTCGGTTTGATATGAGCTCCTCTATGTGCCTCCATCTGTCTGTGTATTCTGTGGTATGTGCTATTTCTCATTCATTAGCTCTGACTCATCTTTCTAATAACTACCTCTATTTCCTCCATGAAATAGTTTCCCGTTGTTGTTCTATTGTATGATTAGCCTGCTTGCTTCTCTGACTCATTCAGTTTATTGTCAGAATAAAGCTTCCCCATTTTCGTTTTTTAGCCTTCCTGTGCGGATGATTTTTTTTATTGTGGCTATCATCTCCTCGCCTCTGACTGTCAGGTTGGTTTATCATCGCACTTAAGCGTCCCACTTTGGTCTCTCAGGCTCCCAATTCAAACATGTTTGCTGTCATGACTTTAACCGTAGCCTCGGGCGGACTGGATCTGTGTGCAAACAGACTTTATCATTGTTACTGTGGTTAGAGGTTTGGCAGGCTTCACTGCTTTATCTGTTAGAGTATGTCAGAAACATAGGTTCACTGATTTCTCTCTGAGGCACCTGAGCGATGATAGTCATTTTCCTGTTAACACTTTCTATGAAGGTCATGCCTATAATGTATTATGACCATAATACATCATAATATGCTTATAGCACTGTATCATTATACTTATGAGCCCTCATGCATATTCATAATGCTTTATAACAATAATCATTTAAGGAATAGTTCAACATTGTCTGTGGTTCAACACAAGCAATCTTATGTGCCTTTTGTCTGATGTTTTACCTTCATATAGCACAGTTAAAGAGTGTCAGAGTGTTCTTATGGAAACATAGAGTATTGAGAGTACCGTTTTCCAATGATTTTTCTTGTTAAGTTTATAGCTAGTAAATAAACGACACACACCTTGTGAACTCAAAGATAGAAGTTCTTCATTTCTGTTTTCTCACAACTTCTACAGCTCATTATAAAGCATCTTATAGTTCATGTTGTGATGCATCATTAGTACGTTTATAATGCATTTTAGAGTTGATTTTCTTCTAGGAGTTGAGATGATGAACAGATGTTGGCTTATTAACTTCATCAACCACCATATGCATAGGAAAAAACCCCAGAGATTGCTGTTTTCAATCTAGTTTAGATCATTTTGCTGTGAAGAAGTATTACAACAAAACTTCATTGATCAGAAAAAACCTAATGGTCTAAATACTACTACCGATTTATTTTCTTGCAGGACTAAATAGCTCTGCTGTTTGCGTTGCATTGACCAAGTCATATGTTCTAGCTTGGTGATATTTACCCAGCGTTTAGCAGTTGATTAAATAAGATAATCCAGGATGATGCACCATGCTTGAATCCACTGTTCAACATTTGGCAACCGGCAGAAATATGTAGAAAAAAAGATTCTGAGGAGCCCATTCAATACACATTATAGTAAAAAAACGGCACATCAAGATACAAACAATCCAAATCATTAAAGGGGCCCTATTACACTGAACAAACTGAAAGGTTGACTTTAATTAAATATATTATGTCAACAATTTTCATATAATAATATTAAGTTGAACCTCATTTTTTATTTAAACTTAATATTATTACTTTCAACTAACTTAATAAAGTTATGTGAAATCTGTTGACATAATACATTTAATAAAAAGTAAATGGTTCAGTTTTGTCAGTGTATGCACATTTTCAGAGTTCATATTTGTATTTTGTACCGTGACATGTTTACTTGATTTCATGTTCAAAAAGTGGTGCTTTGTGATTTTAGCCTTTGCAGACCATTTACATGCACAAACCTATAATATAACAAAAAAGGGAAAACCCCAAAAAGCACAATTGGGCCCCTTTAACACACTTAAATATAACAAATGAATTCCAAGGTCATTCATCCACAAACATTAGAACATGCATTTGAACCATTTGACTCAACAGTTAATTTAAGGAAATTACAACAATACAGTTCAGAAAGATTTTCACACCATTTTATTAGCAACAATGTGTGTGTTAGTTATATATTAGAAACAAGGACAGAAACGTTTCTGCTTCACTGTACTGAGTCTGAAAAACCAGCTGGATCATAAAATAAAGCAAGTAATTCATATACTGTAGGGAAAAAGCAACACTGCATTTGAATATACACTTGTAATAATAATAATCATAATAATAATACATTTCTCTTTAATAAATCTTTATGGCACAAAGTTTCCTGTGCAACTGTCACATCTGTTTAAAAGGAAGGAAAACATAGCATTGAGAACTGTGTGTGTGTGTGTGTGTGTGTGTGTGTGTGTGTGTGTGTGTGTGTGTTCGTGTTGTAGTGTATTTGCAGGAAAGCACATGTCACATGATCGCTGATAAAATCAACAGAGAGAGAAAGAGAGAGGGAGTGTGGGTACAACAGCATCTACCATCCATTTTAAAGGAGGGGCGAGGGACAATCCAATCAGCTTTAGGCCCCTCACAAAGCCACAAGCATTATTTTCTTCATGAAATCAAGCGGTAAATCATTTCATTCGTGAAACGTGTGTTCTGTGTTCTACTCCTCCAGCTATAGGCCGGTCAGCCAAGTGCAGAAAATAAAAACAATCCTGGGAAGGAACTCTCTGAGTACCTCAGAGAAGAGCAAATGTTTCTCAGTCCATCGAGTTGAGAGAAGAGAGAGACTAAAGTGTGTACTATGGCCTGTTAAATACTTAAAGATGTGCCTTCAAATGGGAATTAATCTTTAGCCCATGAATCCATTTATCAAACCAGAGACAACACAAGAAATTCAGTGAAGAGTCTAGAAGAACTAAAATAACTATAAAGCCTTGCCTTAAAAATGTCCTCTGACTGCCACAATTACAACTTCAGTCTATGTTTTAGCCTTAATCTGTAAAATAAACATTTACAAAATAGGTTTTGTCACCTGGTTGGAGCACTCTTCACATTAGCATACATTTAAAGGGCAAACTTGCAGGTCTCCCTTGAAAAAGAGATCTATGATCTCAATGGGACCAATCTGGTTAAATAAAGGTTTGAAATGAAATGAAATGAAACTGATACAATGCATTCACCCATTACAAGAAATGTCTAAAATGTTATTGCAACCCACCACAGGGTTTGGTTTACATAGGGGGGGTGAACGATTGTTTTGAAGTGAATGGAATAATAATCTCGTTATAACAACTGATCAAGTTATACACACACGCACACACACATGCAAGAACAGTCACACAAATGCAAGAACTTAAAGTATCCCCCCTTTGGCACCTACAGTCACTCCGCCTGCATGAACACAGAGGTCAGTCTCTGCTGAAGTGTGTTACTCTTTGTGTCAGCAGACACTCAGAGAAACCAGTCTAAGTCAAAATGGAGACCTCTATGAAATTCTGTGGAAAACAAGCAGGGATTTCCATCTTCTGTGAGCCCTTTATGTCTTAAAATATTATGGCCTAAATTATCTGAAATGTCATTGGATGGCAGCTAAAACATGACATCCCCCCTTTCTCCACTGGTGGTGAGTGATATTTTATAATCTTTATAATCTGTGGATGGAGGAACAGGCAGATCATCCCATCACGGGAGAGGGAAACACTGGACTTCTCCTAATCATATTTTGTTAGTATAGCAGCTATGACAGAGAGAGAATCCCTGCCGATTATGGTTTAAGGGAATCTGTGTGTCTTTCAGGCCACGAGTAAAAGACACAAACTTTATCAAATGGTTAAACAAATTCCTTTTTCATTGTTAAAAAAGAGCTATTTAAAACAAAACAAAAACAAGACGTGTGTGTTATTGGTAAATGCACAATACTTTAAACTATCGTGGCTCAAGTGTAAGGTCCTGGACCTGAGCATAGTACCTTGGAAAATCCTGTCCTGAGAGCCATCGGAGTCCTTCAGTCTGCGAAAGGTGACCAGTAGAAGGAGACAAGATTAGACCAAACTATGGACTAAACTGGTCTAGACGACAAAAACAGAGTCTTGTTTAGGCTATCCCTATTCATCTGAGCACACACTGACAACGAGTTCAAACCTCACCCAGCTAAACATCAGTGCTGATGCTGCAGCTGCGTGTGAACATGTCCCTCATCGTAACCGACCGGGCCAGGTTTGGTTTCCGGTAGTTTGAAATGTTCACAGGCACTGGCAGGTCCAGATCTTGCTGATGCACGCTGCGGTAGCTGATCCGGTCGCCTCCATTCCTCAAGCCATCAGGTTGATGGTGGATCTGCGGCTGAGGGGGCGGCTGCAGGTAGAAAGGCAGGTCATAGTGCGTACAGGATGGACAGAAGGTCTGTGAGCGTGTCAGTTTCCTGGCCAGGGGAGGGGTGGAGAAAAGGGCGGGGCCATTGGAGATGGAGGAGGCGGCGGCCGTAGCCGCCACAATGTTGTGATTGGAGTGGACCGGAGGAAGGCGGGACGTAACAGCGAAGTCTGGCTCCTCCTCCTCCGACTCAGACTCTTCCTTCTTGCAGCAATAATACTGGATGGAGGAGGAGATGGCGAGAAAGATGATGGGGAGCAGAGATGACAGAAGAAGAAGGGATAGAGAGACAGGGAGAATATTAGGGACCAAATTATGTCAAATAGAGAGATGAGCAAAAGAAGAGTTTCAAAAGTGGCATAACAGAAAGATAATGATCAATAAAGAGAAAGCGAAAGGCATTTATTCCACTGAAAAGTCTGCATGGCCATGGTGTTAGCAGAAGCACAGCAGAATACATTATTTGGCAAGTTCTTTGAAATGCACTTAAAGCCATTAAGGTATAGGTCAGCATCTATATTCTACTAATAATGTTTTTCCAGTACTGTCTGACAATGCTTGCCGCCACAAATCCTGCGATTTTGTGCATATTGAGGAGCTGCCATACGAGGCTCTGGCCAAACATTTGGGAGCAATTTAGAGTTCAGTGATGCGCTCAAGGATACTTCGACACATGGGAGGAGCTGGATATGCACTAACCCTGCCATTAATTCTCTACCTGCTGACTCACAAAAAGATACATTTGTGCCCATTACCTTTAAGATAACGGCAATAACAGCATTGTGTCCCACCACAGGTTTTTATACTAAGAAGCAAGATCATTAGTTAGCTTTACAGTTACTGGTAGCAGGATTTCGTCACTTTCTGACAGAGCCAAGCTAGCTGTTTCAACCTGTTGACTGTCTTAAATTCAAAGGACAGATATCAATCTTTTATTAAACTAATCTCAGTCTTAAATTAAGCATATTCCCAGAAATATTGAACTATATCCTTTGAGAAACTATTTAAAAACTTGATGAGGTTCTTTGTTAACTGAATTTGTTTCAAATTTGTTTGCCAAACATATTTTTTAACACTATTGAAAGGCCATGCAGTGAAATGCACAGGGGAGTAGTTCAGTTTAACAGAATGGAAACGGCATCATTTAAAACAGAAACAAACCCACATGCTTTAATAGCAATCCACAAACTGTAGTAATGCTTCCCGGTGGTGTTGCTAGTTCAACACCAAAGATATTATGGCTATTTCTTTTTGGGTGCCGTGATGGCTTTTATTCTTCAGTGTTGTAGCAATCTTGGACCTTTCCTATTCCACTCACTGTAGAAGAGATGATTTACCTTAAGATCTTTCTGTCTTTAATGTACAAGCTTACATGCTTTGACAGCCAAAGACCAGGACCATGACTGACACACATGCCCCTTTCACACCAACGCGTTTTCAGGCTCCGGCTCGGAGCTGGAGCCTGAAAAGTACCGAGAGTGTTTGCCTCATTACCATAAATGTACATTTTAGCTACGCTAGCAGAATGGCCCAAGGAATGGCAATGTCTCATCAGACAGTCCGTCCACCACTTTGGTCTCTGGGATGGATAACCCTGACATTTGGATGGGTTAGGATGAATCGTGTTAACTTTGGTAAAACCCTGACTTTCTTTCACGTCCCATCATCATGTTCATTTGTCCAACTGTGGTTTAGGATCATAACAACTGTAGTGCCAATGAGCAAATCTTAGCATGCTGAAATGCTAAACTAAAATGGTCAACACTATCAAGATAAAACCTACTGAACACCAGAACGTTAGAGATGTCCTTGTTAGCATGTCGGACAGTACCATCTAGCTGAGCATTGAATAGCTGTTTTACATGGCTGTAAATAGTCTATTTTTTGTTGAAACCTATATCAGTGTGTTTTACAGGAACATGATCATTTTAAAGGGCACCTATCCTTACAAAGATTAAATTGTCTTTAAGATTACAACAAATCAGGGCCACTATTCCCTGATGAACATGCCTGTCTATCGCTGTATTTTTATGCAATTCTAAACACAGCTCGAGAAACATTTTCTACTGCAGTAAAACCCAAGCTTGAGAAGCCTTGGCAGACACAGACAAAGAATGCTGCTACGCTCATCAATTACGTTTTTTGGGTTAAAGGAACACGCCTATTATCCTTGCTATTTGAGGTTGCAAACACAATTTCCCTGATTAAAGCAGCTATGCTTATGAATAGGTTCTGAAGGACACCTTTAACTCGCAGCTCATGCCAACTTTCTGAGAAAATACAGGGATTATAACACTGTCTGAAAGCAGCTGTGGCCTCACCTGTAGCCTACAGTAGCACAGTACTGCGATGATAAGGAGTAATATAACCGTAGCTAGAATTCCACCAGTGATGACCACTGTCCCGGCTGTCATTCGAATGGCTCTCCATCAACACCCTGCAGAGAGCAAGAAGAGAGAAGGATGACAGAAGAGGGTCAGAGAGAAAGAGTGGAAAAGAGAAGAGGAGGGAGAGAAAGCACACAATTAATCAGCACAGTGGCTTCATTAAGTAGATTATAACTGTGTGTCATCTCAGTGGTGCTTATTGAATTATCAAGCAGTTAGGAAACATGTAATAGAATCATCCTACAAATGCTGCTCATATTATAGATGGGATCTCAGGCTGAAACACATAAGGAAAATAAGTGTGAGAGAGAGAAGGAAATCAGCATTCAACAGCAGAGCAGCAACAGAAACAAGCTGCAGGAGAGCAAAGAGATAAATGGATTGTAGTAGTGAGGAGAGTTGAAGTGACTGAGCAGGTGATAGAAAACAAAGACAGAGCGAGTGGCTAATTGACATGGAGTGAGGGAAAAAAAGGTCAAGATGAGTTGAGTAATAGGGATAGGAAGGGATTTGATGAATGATTGTGAAATCGAGATACAAAGTGATGGAGTGGATGAAGAAGGTGGTGTGAAAGACAGACGGGGAAAAGTGATACCTAAACAGATGGAAATGAAGAATGTATGGGAGAAACAGGGGATGAAGGGATGAAGACAAAGGAAAACAGGGTTTTTGGATGACTAATAAGATGGAAAGTGTGCATAAGAAGAAGGGAGATGAACAGAGAAGGGATTTTGCTGAGATTTTGAGATGTGAAATATTCAAGCTGAGCACACGGTTGAATGAAAACAGATAATGTCTTATGCATGCACCGAGCCAGGACCCCAAATTCATTATAACCCAGAGACTTTTGTTCATGCCCACTGCTTTAAAAGTAATAAAATACATATCCGTAAGTCTATGGTCGAATTTAAAAATAGAAATATGAAACGCAGGTATACTATAACACCAACTTTGGGAAGGAAATAATTCTGGTGACAATAATAGTCACAAAAGTAAAAACAAATCTAAATGCTGTCTTTGCGTTAATACTAGCCTATACACAGAACATCACAATAATACTATAAAAGCAATACTAAACAATTTGCACTTGTGATACAACCTTTTCCACCAACATTACATTGATTGATTTTTAACAGTTTGAAGCATTGTGACCAAAAATAAATTGGTGCTCAATCCGAAAGTTTGTTAACGGCAGAAACCAAACATTAGCACTTGACCTGAAGTGTGAACTATGAGATCTTCAGTGGGCTTGTCATGTTCTACAGGTTGGAAATAGAGGATTGAAAAGGCACAAAGAGAGAAGTCTAGTGAGAAATTGCCTGATTAAAAAAAGAATGTTCAATAATTTTAGTAAGTGTAGGTCCATACTTGTTTTTCAGTTTAAGTTAATGCCATCCGCCATCTTTCTTCTTTTATTTACTATGCTCTACATTGTTCACCCTAAGTGAATGACACATCATTGATACACGGCTGAGCTTAAAACTGGCATAAGGATTCCAAGAACCCTGACCAGAAGTGGTTCAGGAAGAACCTTAGCTTATTTTTTGGAAAAAGGGTTAAGTGAGGGTTTTCACAATGAATCAGCATTCTGAGAGCATTGTTTCCCTAATGAGAGACATCTCTTAATGAAGAATCAATCAGCAGGAAACAGATGTGTGTGATCTGTGCCCTTAAGTCAGAGGTCAAGACAAAAACAAATGGAGATGTTGATCTATGGTTAGCCGATTGAGCTCTGCAGATTTGTCAAGTGGATCTACTGTTATCTCTCTTGCTTTTTTGCCATTGCATTGTATCGTTTGTTGACTTGCTTATATGCAAAAATTGCTTTCAATATTTCATTGTTTCATGTAATTCATTTAAGCAGCGTATCTTTGTGTGTGCTTCACAATACCAAAAATGATGATCTTCCTAGTCCTTTAGACAGCCAGTCTTAATTAATTTGTAGATTCAGGTAGTCTATATTACAGTTTCCATGCGGGTAGAAATGACTGGACTGAATGATCCAGAATGTCATAAGAACATTTGCAGCAGTATGATTGACTTGAAGCTGAACTGACCTCATTCTCAGCTTATTAGATCAATGCTTCCCTTTAATTACCTCTTTTCAGTCTCCACAGCAGCTGGATTACAGGAAGAAGCCTTGGGCATGGAGGCTTTAAATGTTCATTTTACTCTTGAAAGTAACTCGCATTAATCACAAACATTGTAATATCATTCAGGTTGTCAAAAGTAATTGCTTTTCTCTGCCTTCCTCACATTGTAAAGAATTTGAGGCTGTCACATAACTAAAGAGTTGGAGCCCCGCAGCAGCCATCAACAATATCTGAACCCTTACCTGCTCACTGAGGCAGTTATCTGTTTCACAACAACAGCAGCCTAAATCAAACAAAACTAATCACTGAACTGAACTTTTTCACACAAAAGTACATTTACATGTAGAATTGAGGCACTATGCAAGATGTATATGGAGCTTAACGGCTCAATGGCAACAGGCTTTCAGTTGTTACTATTAATGCAAAACATATTTGCCTTTGCTAGCTCAGAAATGTCACATTAAAGATGCATTTTTATAATCAGTGGAGATTTTCTGGAATAATCTTGCAAATACCATAGGAAACAGGTTCTCCAATCCTCAAATTGCATTTCATTTCATGCATTTAATGACATGTCTATGACCTTCTAACAGTGATATATAGGAATAGATGTTGACATTAAGAGTTAGAATCATCATCTGTAAATCATGTTGCTGGTAATGCGTTTGGCTTTATCTCTATGATCCAGTTTTAGCAAGTACAGATCAGCTCTGCATTTCTAAATATATATATTATTTTACCTTTTCTTAAATCGTGCTACTGTCAGTGTGGAAAAAGTTGTGACTCAGTTTCCAGGTTTAGCAGCATTCTTGTATATTTGGGGAAAACCCTGCAGACACTTGACAGATGTGGGAACAGACCTTTTCCCCTTCATTACATGCACAATCTGGAAGTGTCATTGGACCACACAATCACACTGCATTGTGGATAATTGCCTGAAACCAAAAATAGGACAGCAGGCTTGTTGCTAAGCTATGACTCAATGATGCGAGCCATTATCAGCAGCAAGCACACAGCAGTATAGCCCGACGTTGTCAAGATATAACTCAACTGTGACATGAACACACCCTGAAATGATGAAAACATAAGAATAGTGAGGTAAATGCAAACAGTCATGCTCTTTACTGCTATCCCAGTATGCAATTTACATTGAATTTGTGCCTGTCTGTACATCCTGGACTACACAAGTCTATGTGTGTACTATTGACTGACAGCTCTGACCTTCTCACCCTGAAACACCTTTAAACCATGTTGAATTCCTCTGTGGATATCTTGTCTAAACCCCATCAGCTTTCATTGTGATATTTCTCTCCATGGAGGCTCTATAAAGTTAGAATAGATCAGTCTGTCTCTGCAGTATATGTGCTCTGTCTACAGACAACACAGCTACTCCCCTCAGGCAGGAATACAGCGGGACTCTAATCCAATCTCCAGGCCACACAGTCCACCAACCAAATCAATATGAAGGAACATCAGGAACAGAGCGTTATAGTCTTAGAGTTAAATCGAAGAGCTACATGTGGTGATTTTGGGACTTTTCAGGAACAGAGAACGTAAAAATGGAGGAGTTTGAATGTCTGTCTGAAATTTGGGTTAAAGGTAGGGTAGGTAAGAATGGAGAAACCAGCTTGAGTGCGCTAGAATTTGAAACTACACAGCCGAAAAATCTGCCCCTTCCTTCAGACTTCCTTACAGAGCCCCTCCTCCAACACACACAAACGCGCACATGACCAATGAGGGCACGAGATAAGTTTGTGCACAGATGGAAGGCTGACAGGCAGGTAGGCCATCCAGTTATTTTAGCCGGGCCGGCTAAAATGATTGGTCGTGCTTTTTACAGCGCCACGGCTTCCACAGATGAATTGTTTTAATGTATTTATTGTCAAAGCATTTTATATATTCATTGCTATCGGGATGTTAAGAGCATTCCATGGAATATAACTAAAAGTTTCTGAAGTGAATTACCTACCCTACCTTTAAGCTGAGATATAGTGATGTAATGTACTGCAGGCCTTTTATCAAATATTCACTAGCAGTAGGCTACTGCTTAAATTAGAGTTTGTTAAATATCAAAAATCTGTCTGATCATAACGATGGGCTTAAAGTGTTACTAATCAATATCTTAATATGTGTTTGAATCAATAACAAAGGATACAATTATCCCCCAACTCTGCAATTCCCCTGATCTTAATTGAGTGTTTTGGCATCTTCCAGCTCATTGTTTAGTTTCTTACGTCCTGCTAATCTATTGTTTTGGTTCACTCTTTACTTATCACTGTTGTTTCTGATTGCTGCAGGCAATTTTCTGCCACCTGCTCAGCAGAGAGATATTACCAACTAGCTGGTGATTAAAGAGAAGCTTTAACCAGCTAAGAAGCCAGATAATTCCCTCCAAATATTATTCTCAACAACTCAATGTCTAAATGACTATTCCTCTTTGTCCACCGAATGTATATCAAATGATAATATGTCAATATTGTATTTACAGCTTGTTATACAGCCCCATGCAGCCATAAAATCTATTCGGCTTTAAAAAATATGGTATGTTTATGGTATACTAAGTACCATGACCCTATTGTGCATTCAGGCAATGTGTTCATTTAATAGAAAACAACATATCATTTCTAGATAATAATAGATAATAACAATAACGCCACACACACACACACACACACACACACACACACACACACACACACACACACACACACACACACACACACACACACACACACACACACACACACACACACACACACACACACACACACACACACACACACACACACACACACACACACACACACACACACACACACACACACAGAGCAGAGATTTTGCTGGGATTTCACAAAAACAGCCATGATGCAGAATACTATTAAATATGTATAGGATGTGTATGTTTTACAATCAAAAACTACTATAGAGGATGCACGAATGCATGCACGCACGCACAT